ATATACTGAGATTACCACACGGTGCGGCATTCAGCAGCCGTTTGTGAACTCATCACGTTTTATTTCTTTTAGAGCGTCAGGCTGGCCTTAAAGCCACTGGGATGACTTTCTGAGCCTGGCTGCACTGTGTAGTGTTAACATTAAAGATGGTATGGTGTGGAGCTGGTTAGATGAGATGAAGACAGAGTGATGGGAAGGGGGGGGGGGGGTAAAGAAGAGTTAAGGGGCAACAGAGCAATGCCATGTGTTGAAAAGAGCCAGAGATGCCTTTTCAACTTTATGTAAAATTCCTCCAACCTGCACACTGCACTACATGTGTGCATTTACTTTGCATTCAGTTGCTGAGTCTATCTCTCTTTCCCTTTTGCTGCCGCTTTCGCACACTGGGCAGAAAGTGAAGGAGAGTGGCAATTGAATTTCCTTTCAGCGGTAGTGTGTGTGGAATAGGAAAAAGTGCAGGGCCACAGTGCTAGCCTCTATCTCACGCAGACACTGAACGTAGCCTTAATCCATTCCTCTGCCCTACCCTTTCCACACATACTTGTCTCCAAATCCCCTCCACTCCATTCCTGGAATAAATTATTTCATTTCTTTTTGGTCCGCAGCATTTTTATTCGTCTCTGTGGCACGCCTCAACTTCTGTCCCTGTGGAGAGCCCTGATGAATGTGTTGGGCTCACACCCTCTGATCATCCCTGCTCTGAACGCCTTTAGATACACAGTAGCTTCTGGCTGCCTCAAATGCACATAAGGACTCTCTCTCCTTCCCTCTCCTTCTCTCCCTCTCGTACTCACAAATACACAAAGGAATAAATGCGAGCTATAGAATAGATCTGGATCCTTTATCTTTTTCCTAACTCTGCAGAGACAAAAACACATTTTCACTCTCCTCTGTGGATATGAGGAGCTGGTGCTGTTGCTCCTTGTTCAGATTAATGATGACATTTAAGAACACTGAACAATTTCAAATAACATCTATAATTCATCTGGAAACATACATCCAACAATGTATGGAATCCAGTCTATGCTGCAGAGCTCATGAATATGGAGAAAAGCTGGAAATAAATTATTCTTTTTTATAATTGGAGTCTCAGGACTTGATTGCCACAGCAAGAAGCCTGTGTCTGTGTGTAATGGCATGTGTTCATATGGATGCACATATGGGGGGGCACTCAGTGTGTATGTGCATGTGAGTGTGTGTGTGTATTTGGAGGAATTAACAAAGGCAGTCTCTCGCGCTAAGTTATCATGTTGTGTTTCTGCCCTGATTGGCGTGGTTGGAACGCTGTCTGGAGCCCCTAACAATGTCGGATAAGACCTCATCTTCCTCACTGGCATACGCGTGTGCTTCCCAGCGGGACACAGCTTGACAACATGAGATTGGGATTCGATAAGGATAAGTGAGCACTCTGTTTCATCCAGGTCACCGGAGGATTCACTTCTAACTTCTAACACACCAAAAAACACACATACACACACAGAAACCACATTCCCCCTAGCGGGCGGTCCTCCAGTGGTATCAATTAAGGAGCTGGTCCAATCAATGTCTTAGCACCAGCCTGATACTCAACTACAAGGAGATTAAGACTAAGCTTACATCTTTACACAGAGGATCCAGCCATGCAAACATTCATACAAAGACCCCCCCCACTCACAGCACATAAAACACACATTACACATCACAACACACAGAGATGTTAGTACAACAACCAGCCTGCTTTCTGTCTGCTGTGCAGTTGCATCTGGCGGCGTTTGTGCTTTGAGACACTCTCTGAACAGAGGACAATAATGGAATGTGTACTTTCTCTTTCTCTCACTGTTATTTTTTCTCTCCTCTTGTCTCTCCCTTTGCTAGGCTAAAGGCTGACCTAAATACTTCAAGTTTTTGATGATTGGACCAAAACAGAAATCAGAGGCGTCCAGCAGGCTTGTCATGGTAGTCAAAAGAAGGGAGGCTGAGGATCCGGACAAAACTCATAGAGAGATGCTGGTACTTACCACACCTTATAACTGTACAACATGTAGCTCATAAATCAGTCAAACCTTATCCTCACACACTGCTGAATTCATCATCTTAAATCTTGCTCAAAGCCTTACCTTTCACCCCGCCGTGAGATGAAAAAGCTGCAGCATATCAGCTGTGTGCCCTCCACCAAGCCACTGCTAATCCAGGCCCAGGAGGGAGGGGTCCATCATTCACACGCTCGGAGGGGACACCAGAGAACCTTTGACCTTGGCTTGTGACCACACCTTGAGATTGAAGAGCCGGTAATGCAGCAATGGCAGCCGGCCCACCAGTTAATGATCTGCTTCTTCCTTTTTTCAGCTTAGTACAGATCCATACTGCTCACCGTCATCGCTGCACTGACACTCAGCCACTACCACACACACACACTCATTGTCTTTTTACCAAACACACATACACACACACACACACACACACACACACACACACACACACACACACACACACATGAACAGAATGAACAGAGCAGGAAACATAGAGGTCAAAGAACGCTTCACCAGTTTTTTAAGTGCACCCATTCATTTTTCATTTAATGATGTGAGGGGATGTGATAGGTGTAAGCACCGTGATGAAGTCCCCTCCAATTCCATCATCGCCTGCTCCTCCGTCCTGCAGGACTGGAAATAAGGACGGGCAGCTCTGACCAGAAGCAGCGTTTCAAAATGTTTCAGTCAGATAAAAGTGCTGCACTGCTTCCTCAGCTGAATTTTACTCATGAGTGTTGAAAGATTAATTTTGTAGTTCATCACAAAAGTAATAAATTTGGCCGTCACACTATGGTTGTGAGATTTTATTGTACACATCAATCATGGTTTTAGAACCTAAACGCTCCCTAATTTCAAAATATTTGAAAAAATTTCAAATAATAAATCATCAAATTAAGTGCCGTGCATGAGAGAAATTTTAATCATTAAGAGGAAAGTTTGAATTTCAGCACATCAGCTACAAATGTATTGAAAATGCAATGTTTCGCTCAAAGACCAAACCAATCCTTCATGAATGTCTACAACTGAAATGTTGCATCTTCAACCGCAAGACATGAGAATACAGATTATTTGGGGTGCCTGGGTTGGCTGAGAACTTTCTGCCCATTTACACCAGGCATTAACATGGATTTATTCTGGATGTCTTACCTGGATTGGAAAAAAACACATGTTAAGGCAAGGTGTAAATACACGCAGAACACATTATGGTCTGAATGCGGATCGGTCAGACCACACCTGGGAGTGGTTTGGCTTAAAACTAGAATCGGATCTCTGCCAGGTGTAAATGCAATTTATCCAGCGTGACCATATTCTATAAAAAAAAACAAAAACAAATTCACCCACCAAGTTGAAAGGCTACTTGACTCCACCTCTTCCTGCTAACTTGACGTGCCTGGCAAAAATCTTCAACCCAGTCTCACTGGTTGGTTAATACCTGATGTAAATGATGACTCCCCCCGTCTCTCCCCCCTCATTTCCTGTCGCCTTTCTACTGTCGCATCTTTAATTAAGGTGTGAAAATGCACAAAGATTCTTTTACTATATTTCAAAATGTATGAGTCTCTTAATTCTCCAGTAGCTAATTTCACCTCTGACTCTGATCTTTTAGATAAGACAGAGGATAAATCCTGGACTAGAGCAAACATCTATTTCATCCATTAATCAATAAGGAAACCAATCTTTTGATCAGCTCCATAATTTGCAGGATCAGTCATCCAAGAGGGTTGCCATTCCTCACCATGGTTACCATTAACGCAGTTCCCAAACAACCCTCAGACCAGAATTAAATAATCAATCAAAGTAATCAATGACTCGATCAACTGCTGAATACACATCTAAGTTACCACCAATCATCCGTTAAACTGCGGTGATGCATGTGCTGTCAGAGCTCTGTGTGCGTCGAGTCCGGAGAGAATCGAGACAGAGACAAGCAAGGCACACCTCAGCTCTCTGAAGTGGCTTCCCTTCTCTAAACACTGATCTGATAAGATAGGAGCAAAGCCCACCAGGAATTTGTTTTCACCGCTCTTTCACTGCGGAGCGGATGATAGCGAGGACATGTGGCGGAGAGAGCCACTTTGGCTCCGTCTCAAGGCGCACTGAGAAAGAGCCGGTGAATTCCACCAGAGAGGCAAAATCCAGGGTCGGTTAATGGTTCTGGCCCCTGCCAGAGTGACCCTGAGGAGCCAAACATCTGCTTCTCTTATTTGATGGGGAGGCAACAGGCAGCAATATCTGCTTGGCAGTCACCGTCAGCTCTCACTCACACAAAAGGAGAGTGGCCCGCGACTCAAGGACATAGGCGAGAAATTATGACTGCTTCGATTCCACTACTCACTGACTAAACACGGATTCAATTAAACCCAGCTGAAGGTCATGTAGTAATACAATGTAAGCGACTCTGGTGCTGTGCTTAATGGAAGTCCTCATGGCTCTGGTAATATTTAATCCAACGGCCCACTCTGACTACCCCCATGTGTCAGCCATTCATATAGCCTGAGTGTTGTCATAACCAGAGTGGTGGGAAGGAGGTAAGGGGTCCCATGTGAGGAATGTGCTTCAAATTCAAAGACTTGTGTTAACAAACTGTGCTAGTAAATGTTGCCAGATACAGAGAGATGACAGAGGTTGTTATTGCTGAAAATAGCGCTGGCGACAGAAGATAAAAATCAGAAGGGGGGGGGGGGGGGGGGGGCTGAGACACAGGTGAGGAGGCAGTAAAGTACAGTAGGCGGGGAGTGGATACAGTGGGAGGGAGAGAAGGAGGAAGGGAGAGAAAAAAAGGAGATAAGGAGAGAACAGGCAAAGGAATTTGTGAGGAACAGAAAGCAGTGGAGGGCGGCTGAGGGGAAAGGGAGGAGCACCAAGCTGACAGCAAGGTTACACATGAGAAGTCTGAGGAGGAATTACACAAAGCACAGAGAGAGAGAGAGAGAGAGAGAGAGAGAGAGAGAGAGAGAGAGAGAGAGAGAGAGAGAGAGAAAGGAAAGAACAGGTAGAGTTGGTTGGGAGTATAGGTTTCAATCTTACCTCGCAGCTAATTACCACTTTTGCAGAGTGGTGAACGAAAGCAAACAGAAAGCAGGGGAGAAAAACAGCAAACAGAAAGAGCAACTTAAGGCACGAGACTAGAAAGCAGAAGTAACAAGAGAAGGAGGGAGAGACAGCGGTTCAAAAGTCACGTCCAGCAGATTAACTGAGGAAGAGAAGCGAGGCAGTAAGTAGTGAGCGAGGTGGTGAAGTAAGAAAACAAGCAGACACTCATTGACAGAGGGGACCGGAATTAAATCCTTGGACTACTGACATCAGCAAAACAAAGGAAGAGAGAGAGCATCAGAAAGGAGGTCACTGCAGTCCAGCAGCAGCGTAGCTCGCCTGAGCGTCTCCGCTGTGCAACTGAGACAGCTGAGATAGACAGACTCAAGTACAGTCTCAGTCCTCACTGTAACAGCACCATGTTGATGAAAGAGTACCGCATATGTATGCCACTGACTGTGGATGAGGTAAGTGTGTTTGTCTTTCCCACACCAATTCACACTCACACACACTCACACTCACACACTCACACACACACACCCCTCCTACAACTTTAAATTGAAAGACAAAAGAGGAGGGGGGTTTTATTTCAAATGTAAAAGCGCTGTTTCAACTCGTAATCTTGAAAGTGTTAACATGCTGATAAGATAAGCGCCAACACTGCACACAGACCTCCTGTGGCTGCTCTGCGGCGGCTTTGGCACATTGAGTAGGGAGGTGTGTTCGGCACCAACGGGCTCGGCCAATCTGACGGAGCCGTCACACAACACCTGGCCGGCAGCATCATAGCACTGCTGTTGTATCTAAATTATCTTCCCATCTGTCTGCTTCTCTACTCTCATTGCTTTCTTTAGCTCTCCTAGCAGCACAACACACGAACTAGTCGGACCGGTTACAGCTTTTCAAAATCTAAACTCAAACAGATGTATTTGGCCAGCAGGTTTACAAACAAAGGAGATCCCGCTGAAGAGAAAAGGTTGCTGGACAAGGGAGTTATGTTCCAAAGTGTCTTTCAAAAGGAGTGTCCTCATCACCTCCTAGCCCCCTGCTCCCCCTTCAATTGTACCTACTACCACAACAATGGAAGTGACAAATAGCAGTCCAAAATAGGATTTACAGTATCAGTACGGGGCACACAGAAACTTGAGCTTGCAGCAAATCCTCTTTCGCCTGAATGTAAAGTAAGTTTAAGTGCAGCTTTTTTGAGGCGACATCAAATCGTGACAGCTACCTCAATCCAAGCCATTTACAACGTCCTAACCCTCGCTCGCGTTTTTAAAGAACATAGTGTCGATTTTCCAGTGTGAATGATCCAGTAGCGCTTCTGAAACACTATACAGCTCGACTGTGTTGAGGAATGTTCAGTATTGTATTCTGTTATGGGAAAAGCTGACAGGTGGTGACTGTAGCTCAGGTGGTAGACTGTGTCAGTGGGGTTGGTGGTTCGATTTACAGCTCCAGCTAAGTGCGTGCTCAAGTGTCCTTAAGCAAGACACTCAGCCCCAAATCCCTGTGTCTATATATGAGGGGTGGGTAATCTAAGTCACTTTACACAAACGCAGCTGCAAAATGAATGTGTTTATTCCATCATCCATCCTGTAACATCACAATGATGTACAGTGCCTTTAAAAAGTATTCACTCCCCTGGGAAGTTTTCAGGTTTTATTGCTTTACAGAAGTAAATTAAAGGGGATTTAATGTGACATCCATCAACAGAAAAAACCGGTCAAAGTGTAAAGAGAGCTCTACAAAGTAATCTAAATCACAAAAAACATGCCCGCATAAATATTTAGTCCCTTTAACAAGACACACCTTAACCATTGGTGGTGACTCCTGGGTCACATAATAACTTAAATGGAGATTATCTGTGTGTAGCTGAGGGGTTTCGGTTGATTGTAATAAAAATACAACCGAGTGAAGAAGATCTGACTTTTGGTGAGTCAGTATTATGGCAACACCAGCACATGAAGATTAAAAAGCTCAAGTCAGCAGACAGATACAAGGGAAAGAAACTGAGTGATCATGCAGACTGTTGATCACTGTCAAAAAAGCCACATTACCTTAGATTCCATATTGTAAAGCAATAATACATGCAAACCTTCAATGGGAGGTGAAATAATAACTGATTATTATTTAGGAAATAGGGGTAAATGTTAGGTTTGTGAGCTGCGTACAATCAAATGCAAATATCTGGATTGGACTAATTTTCATCGTCAGCGGACGGATTCACGTCTTTCCTTTTAGCATTTTATCACAGGTTTTTAAAAAGTTGCTTTCAACTGCATTTCCTTTTAATCATGAATTCTTTCATTTTCACTTGCTGTCACACCACACCCCCACCTTTCCTACAATGATGAGCTATATTTACTTCTCAGGAGTTTATGACAAACTCACGGCTTGTAAACCTCTCCTTGCCTCTTTTAAAAAGACAGTAGGAGGAAAGCAGATGCCAAAAAGCTGTGGACACGTTTCTCAACACAACACTCCTCACAGCCAGACAGAGAACATAATAGTGATTTAAGGGACAGATAAGTCTTCTTTCAACTCCCTGCTAAGATTTGTTTTCTTGAAAGTGAGAAGAGATTCACAACTTGTGTGGGAGGAGCTCACTGCTCTGTAGACACTGTGAAAGCACCCATCACTGTGATTAATTAAGTCCCTTGAATACCCAATAAGTAAATATTGAATGTCGAGATTCCACAGTAATTGGAACAAGAAGGAGGAGTGTCACATGATGTCAACAGCGTACAGTGAAGAATGGCAAACTCCTGTTTGCCCTCCTCTTTCTCTCTTCCTCCCCATCTTTCTGTTTCTACTTTTAATTAAAATAATGCTTTAGTGGCACACCAAAATAGGGCTACAAAATGAATTACATTATGGTGGCCACAGCAGAGCAGTTTAGTTGTTTGCAGTATAATTTCATTACTTTTTCATAATAATACTTTAAAAACAAAGTTTGCCAAGCGATTTGCAATTACGACAAACAAAATACTGTAGATTGAAACAAAGTTAGGGAAGATAAGAAAGAGGACGGTAGCAGCATCTGTCATAAAAATGTTATTGTGTAAAGCATGGACTTTGTGAGTCGCTGAAAAGACAACACGGATTGTGTTTGGCTGAGTTCATGGAGGAGGTCACTCCAGAAGCCCAAAGGCCTCGTCCTCTTTAGACTCACTAACAGCAAATACTCATCAGCATCAGGCGCAAACTGAGGCTGCAGCAGAGCGCAAAGCACAAACACAACTCCAACAGGGAAAATAAGGGAGAAACATCAGGAAGAGCAACAAAGACAGGATCCCTCTCACAGGACAGGAAGCGATAGAGGAGACAGAAATAACAATGAAATGGTGTTGTTTACAAGCTCAAAAAGTTAAATTGAGATTATATAACTCTCTCTGAACAGAGGCTACTGTGGCTGCAACAACAATCAGCCTCTATGATAACAGCAGAGTCCTACAGCTTGCTAACATTAGCAGCTATGAGCTAAACTCCTGAGAGAATTGAATCAAGCAAGAGTGTCTTTTATTGCTAATGAATTCAACTTTTATTTGTATTTAAAAGTTACATAATACGGTTTTCCAATATCAGAGATAACACGAGAGCCCACCCACTCAATTTAAATTTTCCTTGATGCATGACCACAATCACCAAACACTTTGAGAATGAAACTAACACTTCCCTCAAAATTTGTCACTTCATTAGGAAGCATCATTAGCAAGATGCTTTTGCTTTGTGCTTCATATTTGCTCTCCACAGTTAATCTTTTTCTTCCTCTTCTCACTCCATCCTCATCCTCACCACCATAAACGTCTTCCTAAACCTCTCCTCGGGCTCCAGTACAGGATCGGGCAGCTGTATATGATCAGTAAGCACAGCTGTGAGCAGAGTGGTGGGGGAGAAGGGGTGGAGGTGGTGAGAAATGAGTTGGATAGTCACCCCCAGCACGGCCCGGGACAGCTGACCGAGAAGAGAATCTACCTCAGCAGGTGGAGTGCACTCTAATGACTGTGTTTCTGTACTAATGATGCAGGACTAATACTAATAACACTGGCTATTTGCAACCTGAGCCTTATCCTCAGGTTGTCAGCTATGCCATTATGATTACTGATTGTGTTTGATCTTTGATCTTTTGCTTCACTGTAAAGCTGTACGTCCTGCAGATGCAGGTTGCACGTATCACCGCTGACAAGCAATAAAACATCATTTCAGCACAGTAACACCCATACTGCAGTGTAGCCTGCCTACATCTAAAGTCCAAGTGTCTCCCTCTGTCTGAAACATGTTGGGGCCTATACTGTGTTATCACAGCGTACAGGTTACTGTGCTGTGATCTCATCCTCCGGCACACCACCTAAGAGTGCCCAAGTACAGACTGCCAGCTAACAAAAACACATCCACGTCATCCTGATGGTGGTGATTACAGGATATGCTGGAAGTTTTAGCCTCTGATTTTTGCCACTAGTGTTGAAAATATATCAGTGTTGACAGTCAGAGGCTACTCACATTCTCATTCTCATTCATATGATGGTTACACTTAAAATATGCTTATTCACTTTCTGGCAGCAAGTTAGATGTGAGGACTGATAACACGCTCATGGCTGTACATTAAGTATGTATTTACAGCCAGTTAACTTAGCTTAGCATAAAGACTGGGGGCAGCTAGCCTTGCTCCATCTAAAGGTAACAACAAAATCCACCTACCAGCACCTCTAAAACGAAACAATTATTATGTTTTATCTGGTTTGTTTAATCCAACCAAAAAGTGTAAAGACAACATGTTGTAGACACTTAACCGCCATGATAGGAAGATTTTGTTTCATTTGAAAAGAGATAGATTAGTATTTTCTTCAATTTCCAGTCTTTTTTGCTAAGCCACATTAAGTTAAACTACTGCTGGCTGTAGCTTCATGTGTATTTATTCTCTCGTATTACTCTTCCCAAGAAAGTGAATTAGTAAAACTATTGCTTTAATGTATTTGTCCACAATTTTAACTCCAGTATCCTGTATTTATTTATGTATTTATTTATTTATAAATACACATGACTGATACAGACCACAACTGTGGCTAAAAGCTCTGTCAGACATAAACGTAAGTTGTTTCTGGGGTCAAGAATGAACGTTGAAGTTCAACAAATCTGCATGTGAATGATTTGTTCATGTGAATAAACATAATGAATGTTTTATGTGCAACATATGCCATTAGATATGATCACTGCTATGTGTTATCAATCATTCATTATGTGTGTATACACCAGTATGAATACTTCAGAAGAGAAGTTATACTTGTTGACAAAACATCAGTTTCAGTTTCATTATATCTGCTTACAACTATATTGTGGTGTGCTATAGTGATTATAATCCCTGAATAGAGGGTGTTAATATGAAGTTTTAAACACAGCAGACAACCTGCAGCCGTCAAAGTGAAAAAGGAAGTGTGTGAGCAGTGTGATTGAAATGTTCTAATGACTGTTCAGCCACAGGAAGTTGAAGTGTGACAGCAGTGTTCATGTGTTCCTGTGCTGAAAGAATCTGTTTTACGTGCTTTGTGATCAGGGTGACAGTCCGTTGATCAATGAATTGTGATGATAGTGGAGGACCAGTCCAAAAAAACAACCTAAATTCTCTTTTAAGTCTAAATTCATTTCCTACCCCTCAGCTAACCTCACTCATTACCCTAATGTAACCTCAACTCTGTCTAATCACCGCTATAAACTGAAGGTCTAATCCGAAAATAAACTCTTAAAGAAGTAAAGAAATGTTCTCACTGTGGAGGATTTTACTAATCTTCCTGTACTTATGGGGCATTTGGTTCTCATTAGTAAAGATATACTAGAACACACACACACACAGACACACACACATACACAGATAAGCACAGTACACAAGTACAGTTGCTGCAGAATGTTTCTACCTCAATCATGTCCTGACATGTGACCTAGAAGCAACAGCAACAATTCATCAGCACAGGTGTAATTGGGAATGAGTCATACAAATGAACGCTGTAGTGAGAGTAGCCTACAGGTAATCTGGCTATAAATGGCACAAAACCACTTGGATCTCTCTGTCTCCCTCCATAATCTCTCTCTCCTACTCTCCGACTCTTCTACTCTCTGACTGTGATTTTCCTTTTGTCCTGTTTTGCTTTCAGTAAACTGCCGTCCTGGGCGAAAGCATTCGTCCCACGATTCTTTTATGTGACAGAAAAGGCCTGGAACTTCTATCCATTCACCATCACAGGTGCTTTCATGTGCCTTTGTTTATGTTTAACATAAGATTACTTTCACCTCAATGCATTATACAAAACTTATTTACTTTTAACAGCTGGCTTTCCAAGTGCCATCAAATATTTATCACTATGTATGCATGTATTCCCATGTGGAAACATGTATCTGTGTGTGTGTGTGTCTGCACATGAGTGCGTGAGAGCAATTGTGAGCTCATGCATGTATAAGTAACTAATGCTGTTTTTCCCTATCCATATTGAACGTCCCTGGTGCTGCAGAGTACTCAGTAAGTATTCTCACACATCATTTACTGTACATGAATGCAACAGAGCTCATCTCTTTCCACTATCAGTGGATCTAATCTGCAGCCCGCTTCCACTCTATCTCTGCCCCTCAACCATTTTTCCCCCCATTTTTACCTCTTGTCACCCCGTAGGTATCATTCCTCCCCAAGTTCAGCATCCGTATTGAGACGAGATTTGAGAACAACAACGGCGATAACGACAATGTGAGTATGACTGAGAGCATGCGAGAGGTGAGAAAGATGGAGTGATTAGAGAGGAGGGGGAGGAGAAGACAAGGGGAGGAGAAGAATTTGTAATTTTCTCTGCAGCACAAATAAAATGTTCATCAAATTGATGTGCCCATTACTAGGAAAACAAACAAAGCACAAAATGCACTATTGGCAAATCTATTAGCCAGACATGCAGCGTGGTGAGCATGGCTGCCATACTGCATTTTGTCCAAAGCCAACACACATAAACACACATACACACACACAGAAATTAACAGAAACAATAATAGCCAAATCATTATGTGGTGAATCCTGTTTCTTGTCATGTTTCTTGTCAGAGGCTATTTCAAGCATTCATAGAAAGTCATCATATAAGCTTCAAGGCTCAGTGGTTAAAAGTAACTAAGTGCATTCACTCAAATACAGTACCTGTTTGTACAAACCTGAAGTACCTGTGCTTTACTTGAGTACTTTATTCCTATACTCCAACACATTTCAGAGGGAAATATTGTACTTTTTATTCCACTACATTTATTTGACAGATGTAGTTACACTTTACTTTACAGATTAGAGTAACACGTGACAATTGATTAACTGATGATTTGACTATCAGGAAAGTAACTGGCAACTATTCTGATAATCATTTTATGAATTTTTCATGCAAAGATGAAAAACATTTCAAGGTTGCAGCTTCTCAATTATGAGGATTTGCTGATTTTCCTCACATTTAGTTAGCTAGTGAGTTATTTAGTTACTTGGTTAACTACTTAGTTTTGTACCACCAATAGTTGCAACAGTAATGTGAATATTTCTTATTATTTTTTTAGTTTTACAAACCAAACCTTTAGAAACTAATAAACAGATTATTCAGTAAGGAAAACGATCATTAGATATAGCCATATGTAGTTAAACAAACTAGCTCAACTTCAACCAAGGAAAACAATAAAATGCTGCTTACACATAAATGCATGCATAATAATCCAGTGATATAATATATAATAGTAAAACAGTTCCAGGGACCATTTTTTCTCCATTTCTTACTTTTGCTTCAGGAAAATTTTCAATGCTTGACTTACGGAATAATGGAGTATTTTGTCAGTGTGGTATTAGTACGTTTACTTAAATACATTGTTTGAATACATAGGCTTTCTGTGTCTCTGTGTAATTATATACACCACACACAAAACAGAGCAAGACAATGAGAGCACGTTGTAAAAAGCAACACACTACATCCAGCTAAAGCAAAACATTCCATAAGAGGGAGCAAGACCTTGAGTAGACACAAACCAACAAGAGCACCACAGGAGCGTAGCGGCGTATTATCTAATGGCAGGTTTTTCTTATTTGTTAGTTTTCAACTGTGAAATGAACAACTTCAGCAGGGCATTAGAGCAAATTTTAAACAAGGTCAGATAAAAGTGCAGTCTCCCCTCTCTCCCTAGTTTCCCTCCATTCGCTCTGAATGAAGTGTGTTCCTCCCTCATAATTCTTTTTCCCCTCTCTTTTAATATCCCTCATATGTCCTTGTTCTTTTTTTTCCCTCGCCCCCTCCTCTGCTTTCTTTATCTGTTCTCTCCTCTCTTTGCACCAGTGTGATTTGCTCCAGCGGCCTCAGGGTGGGATATAGTGAGGGGTGTTATGGTGTGTGACCTTAGTTTTCTACACAGTTACTCATCTGCTCTCATCCTGCTCTCCACTGAGTGAATGACTATGTGCGCGAGAGTATGCAGGGAGTGTGCGTTTGTGTGTCTGCTCTCATTATACTGTATGACCTCCTCCATCTGTTTGGATGTAGGTGTTTGGAGACACGCCGACCCCAGCCAAGAGTGTGAGTTTCCTGGATATTCTGAGTGACCCCATCCCTGAAAAGCACTACAAAGAGTCAGAGGTACGTACTGTACTCTCACAAACACGCCCATCTGCTGTTAGCAAAGGCAAAAACAAATGACTGTGGTGAGTACACTCCGTTGGAAGTTTATTAGGCCTAGCTAAAATGAATGCAGTCTAATATAAAAGTCCTGTAATAAATCCTACCTTCATGAGGGTTTTAAAGTTCAGTTATTATTGAAACAGTTTCAGAGAGGTGTTGATTCAACTGTATAATCATTTGGGAGGATGTAGTTTGAGGTGCTGGTGAGGTTCATTGCATTGTACAGAGAGATGTTTCTGTTATTTAGCCTTCACTCATCAATATAAATGGGCTGGACAAAATAATAGAAACACCTGCTTGTTTAACACTATACAGTTCAACAGTTTCTTCGTTTCGTAAACAGTTTCACCAAAACCGAACCTTTATTACATGACTGTTGTATTAAGAGTGCAATAGTTTTAGCTAGGTGTACCTAATAATGAACAAACTAGGTGTATATTGAGTCTTATAATTGTATTACTATGTTAAACAAATAACTTATTCCCTTTCTAGAGTTAGCTGAGCAGATTGATACCTCTCTCATGTGATTATGCCAAATATGAAGCTAAAATTAGAGACTGCAGCCCGTTAGCTTATCTAAGCATAAAGTCTTGAAACAGAACAAAACAGCTAGCCTGGCTCTCTCCTAAGGTCGAAAATAAGCTCACCAGCACCTGGACTATTATTATCACGAAATTAAAAGGCAGCCAACAAAGCACAGAGAGTACAGAGAGCGAGAGTTTGCATTAGCACAACCAGTAACCACTACCAGTTACAAGATAACAAATATAAACAAATAAAAAATGCTAGTTATGCTAACCGTTCTGAAATGTCTGCTAGTTGTCGATTTTGGCGCACAACACACTCCTCATCCAAGTCTGGGTCTGACTGAGGCTCAAATGTCTCACTGAGTTTTTCTGATGTTTTCTGTAAGGCTAACCACCTTGATACGCACTGCTCTTTTACCGGTCCACGAAACCTTGTCAGTACAGAGAGCAAACGTTTGTATTAGCACAGCCACTGCCAGTTACAAGCTAACAAACAACATAAACAAATCACTACACTTACCGTTCTGATACTTCTTCTAGTCATCGATTTTGGAGCACAACAAACTCAGTCCTGAACAAACCCAAGTCTGGGTCTGACTGAGGCTCAAGCATGTGGCTGAGTTCATGGGATGTTTTTTCCGGTAATCATTTTGATATGTTCTGTTCTATCACCTGTCAACATAGTGCAAGCAGCGGTGGTAGGCGGGGACGATGCCTGATCCAGATTTTCTCAACGAGAAAAATCATAAAATCATGTTTTATGTTGGAAAACCATGTTAACCAAAATATTGATCATAGCAATACTTTTACACAGTCTGTAGGCAAGGCTTTTTTAACTTTCGACAGAGGCAGGAACGCTGTTTACACCTGCTTCAAGTCTTTAAGCTAAGCTAAGCTAATTGCCTCCTGGCTCTAGCTCCACACCTTACCCGAGATGTGCGGTTAGGGCCGTTACCAGCTTCTATTGGCAGGCTGCGCAAACTCACATGAACCCGTCAAAATATGAAATATCATGGTCTGTGGCCGGATCAACTTTTTTGATGATTTAGCTCATTGGTCTGTGGTACACCCGATCCTTTCACTTCCTTTTCCGCCTCCTTCTAAAACACATTGGTAATCAGATCGCCACAGACATCTGCCACGTACAGCCATTGTTAAAAATAAAATAAAAACAAAATAAAACATCAACTAATAACCGGCACATGGACCATGTTAACAGCTTCTCATCCAACTCAAAGAGAAAGCAAATGTATACAGCTTCCAAAACGTCAATCTATTCTTTCAAGAAATGATGACTCATAATAGACATACATGGATAACAGCTCACCAATTATAATGTAGGAATGCAAAAGCTTTTTTTTTTTTGCTTTCTTGGCTTTACATAATTGTGTTTTTGCAGCAATACACCCACACGCTTCTTTTAAATCTGCCCATCTTCATTCCCTCCTCACCAAGGTTTTACACTTCCTTACTGCCTGCAAGTCCTTTGAGACAAAGGTCAATTCACAGGCCTGGGTACACAGAACCATGCACATCAATATAGACCAAACACAAGCACACATACATTCACAGACAAGCAAAAAACTGCAAAAACACCAATCTCATATTAAGTGACACGGTGAAAATATAAAATCACGAACACAAACACTTTCCAATCATCTTTGGTCACAGATGCATAATGTGTGTTATCACACTCTCCTCTTATGGGATGTGTTGAGCAACAATCTGCTTGCACCTCAACACACATATTGTCACACTCACACTCTCTCTCACACACACACACACACACACACACACACACACACACACACACACATCCACAGCTCCCTCTGAAGACGCCTCATAGGGCCAAATTTTCTGCAGACTCAGCAAGTAACAGACCCACTGTTTGCTCTGTGCAGGACCTGAGTCGCTGGCAGTCAAGTAAAACAGGCCGAGGGCCTCTGGAGGAGGGCTGGAGAGATGACCACAAGCCTATTATGTGCTCCTATAAGAGGGTGGAGTGCAGCTTCGAGGTCTACGGCTTCCAGACCAGGACTGAGGATTTCATACACAGAGTGAGGCAGTCTCCCCCCCCCCCCCCAGCATGCCTTTTCCTTATGTTTAAGTAAAGAGGGTTGGATCAAGATAAGATCTGCAATTGCAGTTACGAGCCTTTATAGATGTAATACAAGGAGGGAAAATTAGAATTTACAGCTAACTGGATTTTATAAAGTGCTCTGCTCCATTCAAGCACTGATTCTGTATCTTGGAGTTTTTCACTTTGTGCAGCTACAGTAAAATGATGATCCACAACCATCCTGATTGGTTATTTGTTATTTGAATGTAATATGTGCTGTGCATTTTGCACTGTGTTTTATGTAATCCACCATTAGGTCAGATTTATTAGGAAATTTGCTGTGTTGCTTTACAACACAAAACAGTAAAAGGGCATCCGTTCTTCAAGCTCAAACAAATCGAAGATTTTCTCGCAATGGAATGAGTTAAAGAGCTTATGGAGAAATGACTTGCAACACATTCGTCCTCCACAATGAGGCATGAAAAAAAACAGAGCACTAAAAATGAAACTTAGCAACATCCTTTTCCCAGCATTGTTACTGCAAAGCCAGTGTTTACATGAATGTAGTTTTAGTTTTGACAAAGACTAGCGCAAATATACCGATAAGATAAGTTTCAACTAATGTGAGATAAGTTCCCCTTTATCTCAACCCTGATGTCATTTGTTTAAAGTAATAACAAAAAAAGCATTTCCATGATTTTGACAATGACATAGTGTAAGATCGTACTAGATGTGGCATTTCACACACATGGCTAAACACTTTGAAGTGACACCTCGTTTTACTTTTGTTTTACTTCAGAACATCCGGGACATTCTTCTGGTTGGCCACCGGCAGGCAGTAGCATGGATCGACGAATGGCACGGTGGGTCAGACATACAGTCACAATTTTTACATGTGTTAGATAGCTTACAAGGTAAACCATTCAGAACAGAGCAGTTATACTTTGTTGTATTTTTATACCATAAATATACACCCTGTAAAACCTAATACATATTTCATACTCCACTCTAATGCTGTGTGTGTGTGTGTGTATTTGTACTTTGCTTTCCCCCACAGGGCTGAGTTTGGAGGAGGTGAGAGAGTACGAGCGGGCGATGCAAGAGAAGACCAACAGCAAAGTCAAATCCAGCCAGAACACAGGTGAGATTGCAGCTCCTGACCTGCACTGTACTGAAATGCCACAGAGGATAGGATGGGAGGGGAGGGGAGGCGGGGGGGAGGCAATACAGCTGGATGCGAGAGCGGTGAAGGTAGAGAGAGAGAAAACAGGGAATGAGATGACTCGTAGATGAAAAGAGCAGTAAGTTTGAAATGTATATTTGTGCTCTGAGGTAATTACTCTTGCATTTTAATAAGCAGGGCATACAGCATAGAGATATACAGAGGAGGTACAGAAAGGCAAAAACACACCAACTCATCTAAAGCACAAATTTTTTCATCATTAGAAATCCACAATAAATCTGAGCAGGTATTTTGTATTTATCTGGCCTGCCATGATACCCATTGCTGTCAAAGACCGCAAAACAGTATGAATGAATAAACTCTGTAATGCTACCGGGCTTGAACAGAGGCTGGTTGCACCACTAGTGCCTTAGACGTGCCCTACAAGAACCCAGATGGCTGGTGTACATCTGTGCGAGAAAAATGGAGAGGGAAGAGCAGTCAGGAGGCATTTCACAACACAAGGAGCAGCGAGGAGAGAGAGGCAGAAGGTACATTCCCAGAAAAGGATGACAGAAAGACAGATGTAAGGGGAAAGATGAGTGTAGCCTGGCTCATGAAGTGATAATGCCACTGCGTCGGTCTGATAAACAGCGTAATGCAGCCACCTGCTGAACTCTCCCCATCACCAGCCCTCTCAACATAAATAACCAGCCATTGCAGCACTTAGCAGCAAATGTCAGCCCTGGTGGGGGTCTGTGTCTGGGCATGTGTTTTGTGTGCGTTTGTGTGCGTTTGTGTGCGTGCGTGTGTGTGTGGTCACCCTGCCCCCTTCTGGTTCATCTGGTGAACCTCAGCTGGATGTGAGCAATATCAAAGGTAGAATTCCCAATATGGCCTGTAGCATCTTGCTGCCTGTGCTCTCTCTCTCTCTCTCCCTGTGTGTGATGATGAGAAGAATCAAGCTGCAACAAATCTGCAGTCATTGCTCAACCTGCTGCAGCTCGCTGCACTGCCATGACCCCCTACAGGCCAAATGCTGCAACTGCATTTATCTCTGCACAGACCGAGTAATAGTTTTCATTTCATTCATCCAATGTAATAAAAGTAAATGGATGTCATTTACTCTAGAGAGTCTAATAAAAAGCTGAGTGTGTGAGTTGAATACCAATGAGGGATTTAACTAATGTGAATCTAAGTGTACAGCACAGATCTTAAGTATACTTAAATAAATTGAAAACGCAAACACAGCTCTCGCTCTGGTTCTCTTCTTGTCAGTGTCTATTTTGCTTTTCTTCCTCTTTCATCTCTATCTTGTAGTTTCTTTCATGTCATTCGTATCTCATTCTTTCTCCATCTCTCAGTCTCTCAATTTCAGTTTCAATTTCCTTTATTGGCGTGACGTGAAATACATTTGTTTTGTCAAAGCAAACAGAGAAGGACAAATCATGGATAAAGAAAACACAACAATTAAAAAAATCTATCTATTTATCTATCTATCCATCTGTGAATTTCAGGCCCACCAGCTGCCACTCGTCCTGCGTTCTCTCGCTCCATCTCAGTGACAGACGAGCGTTCCCTGAAGAAGATGGGAGTGACGACTGCGGCCATGTCTGACCCATCAGCCTCCTCTGTGTCACCCAGTCCCATTCGCCTCAACTCCACCCCTGAATGATGCCAGATACACACACACACACACACACGCACACGCACACGCACACTGTCACGCAGTATATTGTACAATGCAAACACACAGAAAACAAAATTAACATTCACCAGAGTCATGTTATTTCTCAAAAACTAACGGGGCAGGGGGGTGGCGGGGTCTGGGGGATATCCGTCTTAAATCTAGGGCTAAAGCCAGCTGGTTAGCTTAGCTTAGCTTAGCATATAGACTGGAAACAGCTAGCCTGATTCTGTCCAAAACAAACAAAATCCACCTATCAGAACTCCTGAAACTTACAAATGAACATCATATTTTGTTCATTTAATTTGTACAAAAAAAAAATGTTTATGAGGGTGGATGTGCTGCACAATTTCTTATTATATTACTGGAAAACAGAAAATTGTTTTTAATACTTTTTTAATAATAAAATGATGGATTAGAAAATTAAAATGTAACATGTTAATAAGTGATCTTTAAGTGTGCTGTTAGGCGACTTTTAGGATCCATTTGATAGGGCCAGGCTAGTTGTTTCCCCATTGCTGGTCTTTATGCCAAGCAAAGCTAACTCGCCACTTGCTCCATATTTACTGTACAGAGATGAGAGTGGTGTCGATGCTCTCATCGAACTCTCTGCCACAGAATGAATAAGTGCATTCCCCAAAACATCCTTCAACACCATTGGAGAAATATTTATCTGCTCTTACGAACATGTTGTTGCTCTTTTCACTGCATATGTTAAAAACCAGAGAAGTGCCGCACAAATACACAACAACATGCAAACACTTTGCGCCTAATCAAGGACAATTTCTACTGTTGCCTTCAAAATACCTTACAGTGTCTTCAGCAGCCTGTAAGCGCTGCATTTCAGCTCTCTCTCAGTCAGTTTCTCAGCCGTAGTCGAGCTCACCGACCACCAGCAGGGCTTTCCAATTGTTTCCCAGCGCCCAGCCAACGGCCTACAGACAGATGCATAAGGAGTTTAATAGAGTGGATCTAATGAGAGAGCAGAGGAGAAGGGGGAGGCTGTCAATGCTATGGATCTGCTCCCCTCTCCACCGCAGCCAATAGGTCAGACCAGGTGTATTGACAGAGGGCAGTGAGGCGTTGTATTGGTTCCTTGATCGCTTAGCCGCGAGCTGCAAATGGGTCAAGCCAGGGCTAAACTTCCATTATGAGCCAATGATGTGGGCATTTATAAGACGATTATCTTAATTTTTTTGTACATTCATAAGAGATCAGGGATCTATAACAGCAACACTGAAAACTGAATTAATGTGTATAATTCAGAAATAATAGTTTTCTATTGTCTTATTTGTAAAAACATTCAGTTTGAACAAATAGTAAAAATGAATCAAGTGGAAAATGTATGGGGAAATTACACTGTATAGTCTTTTATAATGGGTTTTTGTCAATAAATACAATTTCTTTCCAAAAAGAAGAGTCACTAGTGTCCTGAAATCTGTGCAGATAAGCGAAAAAACGGACTCACTGCACACATTATCAGCCATGTTTCATCAGTATTGACCTGTAACGATGGACCAGCTGCTGGCACATCACAGCACTCGCATGTAATCTACTCACCAATTTCACACTTGTGTGCCATGTGAAACGGGCTCCAGCAGCAGTGGACTTGAAAAGAGGGAACCACTTGGTCCAGCCTGGTTTGGCTCTGTGGCTCATGGCAGTTTCCTCTCTGCGAGACAACGGAGGAGAATAATGAATGTTTAACAGATGGAGGGTTGCGAGTTGGGCGTGTGTGCATGTCTGTCATCGCTGTATCACTTTATTGTTCAAGACTTCAGGACAAAAAGCCCAGGCTTGTCACGGAGAGACTTGGAAGTTCCTGTGATTGACAGACATGGCAGCTTGCTTCGAATGGCGCACTAAATAGCTCGCATTATGGGGCTCATTATGGCTTCTTTTATCCATACAAATCAAGTGCCAGCATGACAATTTGTTATTAGCTTCCCAACAAAAAGGGCTTGCAGACGTGCATTCACATACACGCGCAAACACAAGAACACATGCGCTCAAAACTCCTTCTCTCAATGTCTCTTTTTACAGTAGCAGCAGGAGGCTGATATGAAAGAGCAAGTGCTCAACATAGCCAGGAGTGTTCACAAGTGCTGCAGAGGGAGCACAAACTGCCGGCTGTACTGCATTAACATTATCTCTTTCTCTTTTACTTCGTCTCTCCCATTAAATTTTTTCTCTCATTATTGCCGTTTCCACTATTCTCCTCCACTCCTTCTCCTTTCCCTCTGTCCTCTCCGCTCACTTTCTTGAAATTTCCCTTCATCACCCTTTTCTCTCGTCCCTCTTTATCTGTGTGTCCTCATCTTCATTCCTCAAGAGGGCCTCTAAAGAAGACGTACTGTGTTCATTACATGGAAATGTTCCCCATGGTACATTATCATAGATCCTGACCCTGTAGCGCTGAATCATCCTACTATTCCCAGTTTGCCCGTCAGACCCCACAAATAGCATGGTGGAGGAAAGACGGGACGCTCTCCAGAGCCGCATCCAGCCAGCTGCACCGCTGTCGCCTGCACTGTACTCTACTGTGCAGTCACTTTCATGTGAAACCTTGAGCTGGACACCTATCTGCGCACAAGAGAGGGAGAGGAGTAGTTGAAAGACAAAGGGGAGAAAAGGGAAGAGGATATAAAATCAAGGAAAGAAAGCTAAATGAGCGATGAAGAATAAACTTTTAGATGGTAAGACAGTTTTAACGAGTAAACAAGGAAGTAGAGCGGGAGCCTGTTTGTCCTGCTAAAGAAAAGAATAAAGAGCATGTGTGTATATGTCTGCATAACTTCCCTTCCACCTTAATGGCATTTTGCCCAACCACACTGATGTACGAGCTTCTCCAGATCAATACGCGCTCTCCATTCACTAGACGGACAGTAATGCAACTGCCTCATTTGTTTGACGATGTATGCGTGTGTGTGTGTGTGTGTGTGTGTGTGTGTGTGTGTGTGTGTGTGTGTGTGTCCACATCTTTCAGGTCTCCACTTCCAGGCTGTGCAGTATCTTTAACTCAGCCATTAAAGGAGAGTGACCATTAAGCCACATAGTTTAGCATGTCACTAACTTAATCGCTTAGTCCACATGGCAACATTGATTTAATAAGAATTTGTGTGTGTGTGTGTGTGTGTGTGTGTGTGTGTGTGTGTGTGTGTGTGTGTGTGTGTGAGTGAGAGAGAGCAGGGGTTGTACAGATACAAAACCCCCACAGAAAGAGTGTGAAGTAGATTAAAGGGCGACTTAGTGTTTATAAACGTGATAATATTATACGAGTATTTACCTCCCATTGTGTACTTATCTGTGGCTGATATGGCATGTTTGTGTGAGTGTGTGTGCCTGTGTGTGAATTCCCATGAGTGTAATTCTTGCATATGACTAAACGGTGAGGCCAAGATGCTTGTGTTCCCTCATTACAGTGTCAGCAATACAGTTTTAGCCCACTCAACCACATAAATGACTTCAAATCCTCTGTGTATTAAGCCTCACCACTGGGAACCCAATTTGTAACCTCTGCCCAGTAATACGTTAACTGGACTTTATCTGGGGACAGGCAGAGTGTAAAATTCATACAGTATCTGAGAGAACTAATTGAACCAATTAAGAAAGTGAATATGGATTACTGTGGGACTGTGAACACACACATCCCCTCTGGAATAGAGTTGGAGACCACTGCTTTCACGCGATAATGATTGTCATTGCAAATGGATGGCGGTGCAGGGTCTCAGTGTTCTGCACAACAACACTCAGAGTCAGCTGGCTGTGCATTTACACTGATGTGTTTTCATTTCCATAGCAGCTGATCCCAGGGCTGCTATTCTGGGCAGTAATTAATTGCAAGCGGGTAAGGGAAAAGTCAAGGATAAGTGTTAAAACTGTTCCTCGCCTTGTACGCACTCTCACATCACACACAAACACAAAGGCAGCGCTCATTTTTCACACAAACACACATTTGCTAGAGGAAACAAAAAGCAAACGAGTATAAACAAGATGATACGCAGAAACTTGCACAAAAATAAGAGCCTTGGGTACTTCATGCTTTAAATATCTTAATCAGCAAGCCCATAAAGCCTCCCAATTTTAATTGCCCCACTATGACTATTAATTACATAACAGCCATTGCAGTCAGCATGCCCATATGTTTGCTAATAGGAGAGGATGGATTAGAATGGTGAGTAGAATACATTAGAATACAATGGTTTTTTATTGATCTACAAAGGTAGCATTACAGTTCCCCTCCAGGATGTACATACAAACAACTTTTTTTGTCTTGCGAGCTCCAAAGCACAGCATTAAACAAATGACAGAAGACACTTCATACACTGAAAGAACAATGTACCATATTATTGTGAAGGAGCTTCTTAAGACAAGATTACTGTAAAACAAGAGATACTTCATAGGCTGTAAGACAAAGTGCCATATTACTGTGAAACAAAAGATGCTTCATAGGCTGCAGGAACAATGCACCGTATTGTTCTAAAGCTGAAGCTCTGTCTCTGAGGGGACAACATATAGAGTGGAGATAATACAAGGTTGCAAAATTGACCTTGTTCGATTGGCAGCCAGTTTGAACTCACCCATGCGATGGGAAACCCTTCAGAGAATACTTGAATCTGCAGTATAACTTACAACATTTCAGAAAATAAGTGAAGACAAGCCGATTCACATGAACCATTTCTGGAAAGAGCCGCTATGAATGTAGCGGTGAAATGCAGCGTAGGTAAATTAGCTTAGCAAGACACCCCAGTTAGATTCTTATTGACATAAAATGTGAACCCAAAGCTCTCCAGGGATGGATCAGTTGTTTTCATTGTGGAACCTGTGAAATGATAAATGTTTGTCGATTCATAGCTGGACAGATAAGATTCATTTTGTACTTGCTTGGATGAGGCAACCTACATTTTTATGCATATAATTTTTTGTTCCCAGCTGCACAAAACTGTAAATAATTACTTAAACTCACATATTGATTTTTCTGCAATTGTTTTATTCAGCTTAAAGGGTGATTCTTAAGTTGTTTACTCTGCTCCCAAGTGGCCAAAAAAGATGGTTTAACCATAATGACAAAACCTATTTATCTTTCCACTGTGATTTAACGG